GCCTTGAAATACACTTTTGGAAGTCATCGACTTCTCATTTTGCAAAAGCTCATCAAGGCTGATCAAGTTCTTATTCTTGTAAAAACTGAGAAATATTCTCATATTGATAATAATGACATAAAGCTTATGAAACAATCACAGACCCTTTCATCTCGACTCTCTACAATTTGCACCAATCTTCCTCGGTGACATGTTTTGGGTACTCTGTTCCCCAGACAAGATGGCGCGTCAGTGGCTTGGTTGGTAACTCAACAAACAGCATTTCACCGATCGGCTAGATTGAGATCATAACACTCATCCTCAGCTTTTCATGCTGTTTAACCGATCTATTCGATGGTTGTAGTTGGAAGCTGAACTGGAGGAGGTGACGGAGCGTTTGGAGGAACAGGGCGGAGCCACGGCGCTGCAGATGGATCTCAATAAAAAGCGAGATGCAGAAAATATGAAGTTGAAACGCGAACTGGAAGAAGCTCGCATTCAACACGAGCAGCAGATTGCTGTACTGCGCAAGAAAAAGAGCGATGAACTGAACGAGATCTCCTGTCAACTTGATCTGTCAAACAAAGCTAAAGTCAAGTAAGTGAATGCTGGTTAATTCAGATAGACTAACAATTAGTGTGTAGCGTTAGTACTCGAAATATGCTCACCTATTTCTGTTGGTGATTTAGGATACCCTGGACAACAATAAAAGTGATGTCTCAGAATACCATTAGATTCCCGTTTGCATAAAAACTCACAAAAAATTCCTAAGAGACGGTTGCATACTCAAGGTATTTTCAAGATAATATTCTTTTTGTTTCGGTGCTTTCTCGCCCAACAAAGTATGCCATTTCGTATGTCTGATTTTTCAATTTTTATTTTTTCCTAATCACTATTCTTTACACGATATTCATGTTGACGCAGTCCACCATCATATGATGGACTCTTTTTTACACGAAAGATTTATCATAAATGGCTGCTTCAGTGTATAAAAATATGATAAAAGTTTCTGCTGATGTAAGAATTCCCAAGAAGCCCAGGTGACTTAGCGTGATTAGTTAAGAGTCTGTTTTTGCAAAAATTCTTATACCAGCTATTATCTCGCCCTAAGCGACCTAGATTGACTAGGATGATAATCAAAGATTAATGATAGCTTGAAAAATGCTCACTACAAAAATATGTAATTTAGTTGTATGCAATGACAAATGAAGGTTTGAGATGTATTCACCCTATTTCATTTAAAGTGATGAAGGACTGGTAGTAGCATTTTTCCACAATGATATGAATAGAACTGACATTTCCATTGAATTTCACATAGTTTTGTAGTCCACCCTGGATGAGAACAACTTTTGGGAAAGCAATGCTATGCGAAATTCAATGGAAACGTAAGTGATTGTGGGAAAATTCTACTACCAGTCCTTCATCACCTTAAATGAAATAGGGTGAATATCTCTCATACTACTGATTTACTAGTAGTCTCGAAACTCT